GCTCTTGAAAATTTGAAAATGCTATAAATAAAGCACAATTGAGCAGTTCACACATTATAACACATGGATGCTTGGATTTAAGCAGCTGGGAACGTTCAAGAGCCAGCATTTAGGAAACAGAGTCCATTTTGTGAATTTGATTCATTATTCTGTCCAGTTTTCCTCAAACTGTGCAGTCGCAGAGCTGTGTTAACAAAAAGATTTGCTGATTACCCTTTTAACAAGGGGTGGTCCGATTAAATTAAGTGAAATTTATGATTATTTCACCCCTTTTTCAAGGATTTCTTGTTGTCCTTGTTGGGCTGAAGTTAGGGACACGCCATTTTTAAAGCTGATCAAATGACTATGTGAAAGAATCCACAGAAAGTCATAACCCAATTCTGCAGCTTAAATTTTTAATGCTACTTTAATGTTTTGGTTCAGTCTCACTGCTCTCACCAGCCTCATTTTCAGCTGCAGCTGTCAGAAAAAAGAAATTCTCTAAAAACCTACTATATGCAACTTGAGCAGACAGACAGTCAGTGAGAAGCTAGTGAACATAGTGGAGTATTTCAGCAAACAGAGCCAGATATTTTCCAGAGCTAAAAGAAGAGTGAATACTAGACTTACTGACAGACTGACAGAAAAATGCTTTCAATTGAATGCAAATGTTGCTCTGTGACTGCTGAATATATAAATAAGCTGATAAGATGGGAAAAGTTGTGCTTGTTACACTGCCCCCAAGTGGCCAAAAAAGAATGATTTATTCCTGCTTAAACATACAGCCGAGCTACTACAATTAAAAACAACCAAGATCTAAAAAGTAAATCATACAATGTGTAGTCAATTTATGACAGCTTCTGGCAGACAACCACAGCACTGATGCATGCAGAAAGGGGATATGACCCCATTGACAGGCGACCGGTGAAACGCTTCACCAAAAATAAAATGACAGATTTCTTTGAGTCTGAACATTGTTGAAACATTTGAGATAATATAAGTACACAACTAAACAACATATATAACATGAGTCTAGTGTTTATAGTCATTTTAATGTGTAACTGTTACATAGTCTATCTGTAAGATTTCACTTGTGTTCTACCTGGAAAGTTTTTTTGACAGATTTTTCTTTTAAAAAATGACCTCAATAACTAAAAAGATTCAAATCTATTGTTAAATAAAATTTTAATATTCATGTAACTTTGTGTATTGCTGCCAATCTGTGAGTTGTTTCATGTATAGCTACTAGCAACCTGCAAGAACAAGGTATAAAAGAAATCTGAGGGTGATGTCTCAAGCTAACAACTACAGTACTCATAGTCACAGTCAAAAGCAGGTAAAAAAATTATGCTGTGTTCAACTCTTATCAGCTAAGAAGACTTGCATTGATTCATCAGTGATAATCTAATAATGTAAAATATAATAATAAGTACCTATTATACTGTAATACTACCTTACTTTTACTATATGACTTTTACTCGTAATGGGGTACATGTACATGTTGGTACTAGTCTACTTCATCTACCACTGTGTAATTGACGTCTTCCTGCAGTTATCTGCTCCTGCTCTAGCTCAACATCTGTCTCTCCAATATTCAGACAACCTGTTAATACAGATCAGTGGGGATTTGTCATGTTGCTTTTAACACTAATACACATAACCACATCGGTGTGAAAGAGAGCACTGATTCAATAATCTTTTAATGGCCATATCTTTTAGTATTTTTCCATGGTAGGGAAGTAAACGGTGGTTAATGGAGACTCTGTGTGTCCCAGATCTCTCGTTAACCTTCATCTCTCTGTCCTGTCTTCAATTAGCAGATGGAGCCACGCTGCCTCACCATACTGTTGCAGCATACTAATTGATCACAGAACACACCACATTCTGCCTCCAGAGGTTGGACGTAAATCAAGCTGCACCTGAGCACAATTTAGAAGCACCGGGGTTTTAAATATAGAAATCATTTGTGTATTTACTTTTTTTTTTTTCCATATATTTTTCGGGGCTTTTATTGCTTTTAATCAGTAGTGGCAGCTGTAGAGTGACAGGAAAGGGGGAGAGAAAGAGGGGTTGACATGCAGTAAAGAACCACAGGTTGGACTCAAAACCTCTGCCTGCTGCAGCAAGGACTCGGCCTTGGAACATGGGGTGCCAGCTCTACCAGGTGAGCTACCAGGGCGCCCTACTTGTGCACTACTTACATAAAATACGGTTGTTCTTATATTTCTAAATTGAAGTGCTCCAATTCACTAATCAAATCACTAATCAAGTCTTCATAATAAAAAAAATAAAAGTCTTCAGAAAAGGCCCGTCAAAATCACCTAGAGTATAAGATAAGACATTTAAGTTTCGTTTTGTCTGATTAACAGTCCAAAACCCCAAAGATATTCAATCCACAATGACATAAAACAGTGAAAATATCAACCATGGTCACGACTAAATGTCACCTTTAGAGGATTTCTGATGAACGGCCTTGTTTCAGCTTGATGACACAATTTTATTTTAAATATCAGAGATTTAGAGCCTCTTCCCAACCTCTGCAGGAACATTTTGTCCTTCAACTGATCCGAGAACAGAAAAAAAGCCCCACACTGACAAAAGAGTGTCATTATATGCAAATCACTTAAAGGTTGCTGAAAACCAACATTACATAAAAAAAGTAACACCTGCACACTGACGATTTATTTTAAAGAGGCTGCATTTAGACCTCACATATATAGTATATTTACACCAATAAACTGTTTTGAAACGGGGTTAAAACCATCAAACCTGCCAAAAATAATAAACATCTCTTAACATATAATCTTTAAAATAACAGTAGATGATGGTAATTGTAGTAAATATACCCATTAGTAGTAGTAAAGGATAAAAAAACATACAGTGCTTAAGAAAATTTTCACCATAAAATCTAAAAATTTTAATACAATGTAGTCAGACTCAGCTATAAATACTGTTCTTTTGCAAGTGAACTTTATTAACAGTACACAAGTAGTTGAAGTGTGTATCACTCACTGTATGCGCTACTGTTATTCTCTTCATATCATAATCGATGTGTTGTTTTCTAGTGATGAACGGTGTTGAACTGAGCTGTGGAATTGTACAAGCAAAGTTTTATACTGCAATTCTTTCTAATTTCTTCATTAAGTTTCCTTCTGTCAACTGAAATGAGAGAGACCCTTTGAGAACAGACATCTGTGGTTTCCCCTCCGGCGACGCTCCTGAATGCAACTTTTTCATCAGCCTGAGCTTAGTTCTTTTGAAACATGCAGAGAAATGTGCAGCCGATCAACTGAACGATACTATTTTGTCTCTTTCTGCTATTTTCTGTGTGTGTGTGTG